TCGTTAAAGGCACAAAGCCACAGATTAGCTCGTTTTCCTGGGCTGAAAGACATGAAGTAGGGGTAGAAGCAAATAAATGTAGTCCAAGATTCATTATATATGATTTTGTGTTCCGAAGCAGCTACACGCGTGCCATAGTAATAAACCAGGCTTTCCTAATGATGCGCCTTCCTACTTGGTTTCTTAGGCTGGCATGGAACCTTTAGACCCCAAATTCCTCAGTCATAGGAAACAGAGAAGACTTGGAATATCATCTTAATACAACTCAAAACATGATGCGAACAATTTAACTAACATAAAAAAACAGACTTTTTTTCATGGATATTTGATGCAATGGACATATCAACAACAACAACAACAACAACAACAACAAAACAACAACACTGTATGTGTATGTGCTGTGTGTGGTTTAGCCAAGTACAGTATTCAAGAGATATCTCTGGCCTTCACTCATTCCTGAGTCTCACTCCATTTCTGAGCTTATGCAAAGAATGGGTGACACTTACGGATGAGACAGTAAAGAATAAACATCATCTGAATTAGGTGTTTTTAAAGTTTATTTCCAGACAAAATGGTTCTGCATCAAAATACCATGTGTCCAAGCCAAATGTACTCCTTCACTTTACTTCTATGGCTTCACAGAAATGGGGCCATCTATTCTCAGGAAATTTCCTATGACGTGGGACTCATTACCTTGCAATGACCCCCTTCCAATATTAAGAAAATATTATCACAACTACTAACATTCATACGATTTATTGAGCCATTACTAGGTCGCAGGTACTGAGCTAAAAGCTTTATGAGCATTATTTCATTTATTCATCACAATAACTCTGTGAGATAAGTACCGCTATTACCTGTACCTTATAGATAATGAGGCGGAAGCTTAGAAAGGAGGCATTTTCTGACGAAGGCTCAATCTCCTCCCATCTCTGATCACCCCCACCCACAGAGCTCTCGTTTTACTTCCTTGTAACTTCCAGAACAAACCTACTCCCTTTTCAAGGCAAATAATACTTTTCATGGTTATTTTTTTGTGGAAGTATAGGGCATGGAAGGACCTTGCTTCAGGGATTCTGGTAGACTTGGGCTTTCACACATTGCCTTAACTTCTCTGTGTTAATCTAGCCAAATCACTTCACATCTCAGGGACCTAGCTGAGGATGCTAATTCCTGCCTAACACTTCTGTTATGAGAACTGAATAAGTAACATCATATAAAGTATTTTGAACACTGCAGTATTTATAACAGACATGTTCAATAATATTAAGTTTGCTTTTTGTCTAGGTTCCTTCAATTCTTATAGAATGATTCTCCTCCACCCTTTCCTTAGGTATCTAGAATGCTTTTCCAATATCTTGACTACAAATCCTCTCCTTTGGATAAATTCTAATACATTATTCACCTTTTCAAAGCACAACGCCCAGAATAGAAGAGAACTGAAAAGAATAAAACAGAGACTCTAGGTGTAGTGTTATCTGTCTACACTAGAGTGGAACCACCTCACTTACTTAATGTAGATAACTTACTCCTTTAAAATGTGGTTCTTCTACTGGTTTACCATAGGGCCAGACTATTGGGTGAATATATCCCGACTTGCATTAGGAGCCTCGAGGGATATGTAAATTAACATCTCAGTTAAGATGAGTTTTTAATATTAACCAATAACAACCATTAATTAATAATGCTATCTGTACAGCAATTTGGATGAAGTCCAAATCCATATGAGCAGGGCTGCTTTATTATAAAACTCATAGTGGATCATTCACATTGTACTCAGTGCTCTGGGCAACCAGCAGAATTGTGCCACGAAGCAGCTCTATTAATATGACACGGATAAAATCAAAGATGGAAGAAACCAAAGCCCCTTATCAGGGCTGTAAGAGGTCTCAAGAAGTTATTGCATCTACTAGATAGAAGAAAAGAACACAGAGATATTGATGCAGCTCCCAAACTTCTGTTAAGCCATCATCTAGAGTTTGCATTAAAAATATTAATGCTTGGGCTCTACTCCTAGAGAGTATGATTCACTAGTTCTGGGGATCATTGACACAGATGACCCAAATCAAGATGATTTATAGGCCACAGCTGAAAGAAAACAGTGCTAAATTCAGTAAGTTCGGATGCAAACCTAGTCTATCTCTTCACTGTGCGCTTAGCAGGACAAAAAGCCACTAGCAGCCTTGAGAAGGGTCAGACAAGGGAAGGGGTGATATTTGCCAAGGGCTTAGATTGGGGTTGTGTCAGTATTTATTGCTCTTGCCAGCTGGGCTCGGGACAAGTGCTATATCGTGATGACCTTTCCCTATAATGGGCAGTAAGCATCAAGTACAACTACGTCGTAACACAAGGGCACAATTCATTTTCTTCCTTAAGATCAGACCCATTACTCAGCCTCCTACAATACTTCAGCACCACGGACAGCCCCATGAATGCGGCTGGCTGAGAGCTCTACCTCTCTATTAAGAACAGGATCATATAACGTTCTCTAGGTCCATCCATATGCTAAGTGAAATAAGTCAGTCGGAGAAAGACAAATACAATATGATCTCACTTATATGTGGATTCCAAAAAACTGAATAAATGAGAAATGTAAACAGAAATAGTCTCAGAGACACAGAGGAAAAACTGAGGGTTGCTAGTTGGGAGGGGGTGGGGATGAAGGAGAAGGGGAAGGGATGAGACAATACAAATTGGTAACTACAATATGGCCTCAGGGATAGAAAAGGCAGCCTGGGGAATATAATCAATAATGTTGTAAATATAATTTAGGGGGCCAGATGGACTCATGTCTTGTTAGGGAGACCACTTCATATTCGGTGTAGAGGCCTGACCACGGCACTGTATTTCTGAAGGTGATGTTGAATAATAATGTATGTCAACTATAATTATATACAAATATAGTCACGGGACGTGGAGTATAGAGTGGGAATGGAGTCAATGGAATTGTAATAGATAAGCATGATATCGGGGGGGAGGGCAATAGAGGGGGAGAGGGGGGTTGTTACTTTGTGAGGGTGAAAAGGATAACTATTGCATTGTTCTGTACACCTGAAACTAACAATAAAAAAAAAGAATTAGCTCACGGCTTGGCAGCTTAAGGTTCATGGGGAAAGGTGAGAAAGGTGAAAGCGGCTTTGGCCGTGGTCCATCTCTGAGAAGTAAGTCATCCACGTGGCTATAGAAGTGGTAGACAACAGACAACAGAACTAGTATTTGAATTCATGTTTGTATTATTCTATAATCTCTGCTCTTAGTCATTAAGTTATTTACCACGAGCTTGAGAAGTTATTTAGCCTCTTCACACCTTCATTTATATATGCATGAAAATAAATATTGAAAATGTGAATGTTTCCAAGGAGTAACATTCTACAGTTAATGAGTATTGACTGGTGAGTCTTGTGGTCAAAATTTGACCACATGCCTTCAATAGTGGTCAAATTTTGACCTATTGACTTTTCCAACCTCATTGTTCATCAGTCTTACTCTCGCATCCTCATATTCCAGCATACCCATGTCCTGGCGATTCGTCCAATCCCAAGCTCCATGAGCTCTACTTGTGTATCTGCTTCTGTAAATATTGTTCCCATGGCTCTGCCACCTCACACTCACAAGTTTGTCTGTCGCATGTTAACATATTATTTGAAGGGCTGGCCAAGTGGCTCAGTTGGTTAAGAGCTTGCTCAAGAGTGTGAGCTCTGAGCAACAGCGGCTCGAGTCCTGCCTGAGTTCAGTTACTGCTGAGCTGCCAACAGGTGGCAGGATGGCTCAGCTAAAAAAAAATAAAAGTATAACATATTATTTGATAGGTAGGAACCAAATGTCTTGTCCATAGGTCAGAAAATCGATTGAATGCATATGAGAAATAATGAACTTATTTACAGTTCAAGTGAAAAACAAGTAGGGGCTCATTCTCCGTGGTGAAGTGGGAGCCATAATAGGATATATCAATAGGAGCCTGAGTATTTCAGAAAAAGGAGGTGAAAGTTCCATACAAACAGGAAATGCTGAAGGGATTGGTGCTAAATCCTGAACACTATAACTTAAAAATTGAAGATAAAATTGAGTTACATCGAGATAAAGCTGACAAATATGATTAGGATCTCAAAAACATTCAAGGCATGTCCAATGGGAAAATATATATTTTTTCAATGGTGCTAATATGATGCTAGAAGTCAGAAGGGTGGTTACCTCTGGGAGGGCATTAATAGGGAGGGGGCATAAGGAAGGTGAGAGGCCGGCAATGTTGTATACTTTGACCTGGGTGGACTCCTCTGTAAAAATTCATTAAGTTGCATATTTAAGGTATGCCTTCTTTATTGTATTTATGACCAACTTCAATACAGTTGAAAATGAAAGTGAGAACAGGTTTTGGGGAAACAGGCACCACCCACTCTACTGGAGTATGTAAAGTGGAACAACTTTCTGGGGGTGCATTAGCAATAGATGACAAGAACCTTAATCAGTTTCTCGGACCATGCTTTGTGAATGGTTATAGTGGCTACGGTATCTCATTAATTCAAATTAGCTGGGTGAAGAGTAAATGGTAGGATACAAGATACTTTTCAAGTATATTCACAGGGCATGAGACATATGAGTATTCTTCAGGAAATTCCAACAAAGCTCATACGGTCTTCTCTGTCACATTTTTTAAATTACTAAATACCACTTTGGAGGGGAATATTTTAAGTTTGGAATAGGGTCCACGACCATGATGAGAAACCATAGGTTCTCTGATATAGCCCCATCTTCTGCACTCACATTTGAATTCTTCCTTTATTTAACAATCTGTATACCTGCCCATGGAACAAAAGCAGTCTTTAGTTCCACGCAAATAGCCCAGGACTCTAAATGAGAAGGGCCTCATTTGAGGCCTTTGCGTGCCCCTTTTCTCCCCGGTAGTATAATGCTGAGGTTGGGCCATGCATGGAGGACATTTGGCCAGCCAGGGGTGCAAGGCGCCCAGTGGGTGTGGGGCATCTCCAATGCTCAGCTCTTACCGTCCGCAATGAAGTGCTCCGGCACGTGCAGCGTCACCTTCACGGTCAGTGGACAGGAGATCTGACTGCCACACACCATGGCCAGGACGCACGAGCTCACCGCAATCAGCATCAGGGCCGTCTTGTTCACCGGGCTTTTCAGCAAACCTAGTAACACAGAGACACACAAAGACGCATGAGTCTATGAGGTGAGGCAATGGGGAGAGCATTGAGTGTGGGAACCTTGTTCTTTTCCCAATGGGAAGCTGAAAACAGAAACCATGTTTTCCAACCTCTGCACTTGCAATGGCACCTCTGTGACCCCTTGTTGGGTCTTGGTTTAACTCCCTGAAACATGGGCTGATTATTCCTTTTGATAAAGACAAAAACAAAACAAAAACAAAAAAAAGAACAAGCTTCCTGAAAATCGTGACAATTCTCACTCCCCCCGTCCCAATTAGGCTGGTCATTCCTGATAACAGATAATGGTGAACTGCCCACTGTCTTCAGAAGCGAGTGAGGAGACACTGTCTTGTTGACTTCATAGGACCTAATGGGGATGAGCATGGGCTCTGGAGTTTGACAATCTTGGGATAGATTTGGACTTTAGCCTTCATGGGCTGTGGGACCTGCTTCGTTCTCTGAACCTCAGCTTTCTTATATACGATGAGGATAAGAACAAACAGCCCACGAGGCTTTTGTGACGATGACATAGCATAGTATACATGTGATGTCTACCATCTAAAAAGGTTTCACTTTTAGAAACTGTTAGAAGCTGATCCGTTCAAATCAATTCCACAAGCCTTTACTGATTGATTATTTACTATGTGAGAAACACACACAGGGCAGTCCAAGACTAGTCCCTGCTCCTCAGCAGCTTACAGGCTAGGGGGCAAAGGCAGGCTCATCCGCAGAGAATCAGAATCCAAGACAAGCTGCATTAGGAGCTAGTAGAGAGGGCACAGGGTGCGGGAGGGGAGTTTTGCCTGGGAAAATGAAGGACAATTAATTTCACATATGCAGCAGAATGAGTAGATTGGATTTGCATAACAAGGAAGCCACTGTGCCAGCAAAGAAAACCCATAGACTATGCCCTGAGCCCCCCACCCCCCATGTCTTACTCTTTAGGCTTTGCTATTCACATCTGTTTTTCCAGGTTTAGATTACCATTTTTAAAGCAATGTCTCCCAAATTTCTGTTACCCCCTGGGCTCTTCTTTTGAGCAACACTTTCTGCCCAAACCTCCTGAACATCTCTTTATGGCTGTCCCATGGGCATGACAAAAAGAACACATTCAAAGCTGGACACATTATCTTTTCCTGAAAGCCTCCTCCTCCTCCTCCTCCTCCTCCTCCTCCTCCTCCTNTCCTCCTCCTCCTCCTCCCCCTCCTCCTCCTCCTCGTCCTCCTCCTCTTCCTCGTCATCCTCCTCCTCCTCCTGGGATGATCCCCAACTCATTGAAAGCACCGCCATTGAAACCGGTCAGAAACCTCAATGTCATCTTTCCGTCTTCCGTCTTCCTTTACAGCATCTAAATAGCCATGCAGTCCTTTGCATGTTCACCTCTTTCCCCTTATATTTTCTACTGTCTGTCTTCTTGGGAGAGAAGATCAGTGTGGGCCCATCTTCCCATCACACTCCTGCTGGAACTCCTTGGGCTGTTTTATTGAATCTGGTTCCAGGATGTGATATCCACGCTCATTAGCCTGGCATCTGAAACCTTTCATGAGGGGTCCTTCTACCCATACCTCCTGCTGCTCTACCTGGTCCAGAGGCTGGCAGGGCTGCATAACTGCAGCGTCACCATGGTCAACACTCTCCATCATTTCACTATTAGCACAAGTTTTGTTTCTTTTGCAAAGAGAATGCCACTTGTTTCCTTGTCTCCCTATCATTCATCGAGATCAATAATAAATATAAATTCTTCTTCTTCTAGGCAAACAAACCGCCTAAGTTTATTGAGTTTGCCAAAATATCTTATTTAAACACTAGAGTCTAGTAACTAGACAGTAAATCCTGAAGGGCAGACATGGCGTCTTTTGCTTACCATTGTATCCCAATATCTAGCCCAGTATCTGGCACATGATAGAATCTTAGCAAATGCATCATAATTTCCAGGGATGAAAGTAACAACATTAGCAACCAGACACAGGTACTGAACAATCAAAAACATGCCAACAATGAACAACCAACACTGCCGGGCTGATGGGCCGTAATGGACCTACAGCCCATGTGACAGCCCACTTTAAGATTTTTTGTATAGGTATCTGTTTTTCCTAACAAACAGGGAGCTGCTTGAGGAAAGGGATCCCATGTTCACCACCTTGCTGTCTCTCCTTCCAAGATAACAGTCTAGAACTTAGAAGTTGCTTAATTTAAGCTTAGGATCCTTATCTTTATTGCAAGTCCTAGGACGATGCACAGCTTATGGTAGAAGCCAGTCTTATATGTTTGGTCATTATATTTGTTAAATGGAAGAGCAGATAAAAAATAAAATTTAAAAAAAAAAGGTGGTGCTGGTGTTAGGAAATAAACAACCCCTAAGCCTAAAATGGCCACAGAAAAAAAGGAACCCATTTTATCTCTCATTTGGGAGCTATGAGAAGCTATTTCAAAGTCTGATAATATAAACATTTTAGTAACTAGATAGCATAACAAGCTAACATCAATGTTTTCTACTAGAGAGATGAGGGACTAGGGGTTGGTGCCTCGTACACGTCTTTCCTTAAAATGTCAACATGTTACTCTAAGCCTAGTTATTTAACATCCCCCCACCCCCACCACCAAATAACAGTTTAGCAGCAGCAGCACTGTTTCTACTCTAGATTCCATGGACTCTATTCTGAGGGGAAGAACACGTAAGGATGAGTCCAGCTTGAACAAATTCTTGGGAAGGTAAACCCAGTAGCGGGATGTGAAAGGTAGTCAGAGGCCCCTGGCACTGGGGAGGCGGATGCCCTGGATGGACAGCAGTGCCCTGTGGGTCTCCGAGAAGGCATGTCTGAGACCTGGCCCTTATAGCAGCAAAAATGGATGTGATGAAGACATCCCCTGCACTGATTACCCAACTACCAGCAATACCACCCTGGCTGCACAGGGCTGGCTTCTGAGGACTAAGGAGCAGGAGTGGAGCTTCTGATACCATCTCCCTGGGCTCCCTCTGGGCTAATCGCATCCCCTTTGCCATTTAAACCTCCACAGTAATCCAGGGTCTTTAAGGGTCAATGGGGGTGGGGAGAGGGGGGTAGAGTCAAATTAGCTTGCTGACCCTCAGTTTTCTCATCTAGAAACATAGGGATACAATGATGTGTCCTTCAAGAGTGCTGCCAGCACTCAGCGAGACAGCAGATGTCAAGGGCCTAGCACGGTTTCTGGCACATGGTAGGCCCTTGGTAAGTGATCTCTTCCAAGGCAGGTATCAGTACGTACCTCATCCCTGATGGCAGAAACCAGGGCTTGTTTACCTCTCATTCCAACATGTTATTAGGATATTGCACTTCTCCTTACAGACAATGAAGACACAATGAGTGGATAGTGAAGGGAGAGTGGTAAAAAGTGGCAGGGAGTGGAAGACAAAATGAGAATAAACAGCATCTTGGGGCAGATGTTTGCTCAGTGAAAGCCTGAATCACCACAGGTGTCTCTGAAGTCCAGGAAGAAGGACACGAGCAGGTGAGGACTGTACACAGGCCAGATGCCAGAGGAGTAGCCTCAGGGCCTTAGGAAGTTTCCATGGCAACTGGACCTGGCAGAAACTTCACAGTGAGACTCAAACAGAAGTGACTTTTTTTTTCTTTTTCTTTTTTAATTAATTTTTATTAAATGTATTGGGGTGACATTGGATAGTAAAATTATATAGGTTTCAAGTGTACAGTTCTATAATACATCTTCGATATATTACATTGTGTGTTCACTTGCCTAGAGTCAGCTCTCTTTCCATTACCATGTATTTGACCCCCCTTTATCCTTTTCTGCCTCCCACCTCTGCCCTTATCCTCTGGTTACCACTAAACTGTTGTCTGTGTTTATGAGTTGTTTGTTTGTCTTGTTTATTTGTTGCTTTCAGTTTTATATACCACATATTCGTATGAGTTCTTTATACAAGTACAACTCAACAACAAAAAAAGCAAACAAGCAAACAGACAATAGTTGAGTGGTTATCAGAGGGTAAGGGGGTAGGGGGTAGTAGATGAGGGTAAAGGGGATCAAATATATGGTGATGGAAGGAGAAATGACTCTGGGTGGTGAACATATAACATGGTATATAGATGATGTATTACAGAATTGTACACCTGAAACCTAGGTAACTTTAACCATTGTCACCCCCAATAAACTTTAATCTAAAATAAACCCAAAGCAAACAAACCACTTAAAAAAATGGGCAGAAAACCTAAACAGACACTTCTCCCAAGAAAACAAACAAATAGCCAACAGATATATGAAAAATGCTCAACTTCACTAGCTATTATAAGGGAAATATAAATGAAAACTATAATGATATACCACCTCACACCAGTTAGAATGGCTATCATCAACTAAATTAGTAATTACAAGGGTTGGCGAGGCTGTGGAGAAAAAGGAACCCTCATACACTGCTGGTGGGAATATAAATTGGTGCAGCCACTATGAAAAACAATATGGAGGTTCCTCAAAAAATTAAGAATAGAATTACCACCCGACCCAGCAATCCTTCTTCTGGGTATATACCCCAAAAACCTGAAAACATTTATCTGTAAAGATACATGTACCCCCATGTTCACCAAAGCATTATTCAGAGGTGACTTTTTATGAGTTCCTGGCCCAGGGAACTGGGTGTCAGCACTTAGCTCTGAGTCAGGGTTATAGACAGCGGCGGCAAGGTAGAAACTATGTATCCAATAATATCCACCCCTTCCTCATCTAGGCTCTGTACTGCATGTTAGGAAGCAGGGACAGGGAAAAGAGCCTCCATTTGTTAAAGCAATTACTATGATCCAGGCATCATCCCTACCAATTACATCTATCCATCCAACTATCCAGCTATTCATCCATCTATCTATCCATCCATCCAACCAATTTTTATGGAACACTAATACTTTCCCTGCACTGTTCTAGGTATAGAGGAAATGACGGCGAACAAAACAGCCAATGTCCTTGAACCTTACATTCTAGTGGTGGAGAATTATCCC